ACAATTAAAAAAAAAAAAACATTCGAAAACGAAAGCAAAACCTCAACGAAACCTTAAAGTGCGTTTACTCTTAAATATTATAATATGCATAAATTCAACGAGCCTCAACAGCCGACAGCTCGGCTACACAAGCTTGAAGAGCGCCGCTCCGTAATTGCTGCGAAGCTTGGCTCTCGACCAGAGTAATACTATTGAGAAGTGAAAGCTTCTAGATTTCAACTTTAACCAGCACAACACTTGTGAAATATATGTATTTGAATCCCTATGCCGTGGCTTATATTGTTTTGTGTAGTAATTAACTTTGACTAGGCAACTTAATTATTTGGACGGATCTCGGTGAGCTGTAAACGATTTATACAGTTTATTTCTGTCGAATTAAAACATTTTATGGCTTTTGTAGGCATAATAAATAAAATATGTATACAAATAGTTTGAATATAGTTACTTAAATATAAGCTAAAAAGTAATAATTTCGTTTGTAGAAGTATAAAACTATGTTTAATAATAATATTTATGAAAACTCATCAAAAACTTGAAAGGAAAGCTCGTCGAATCTCTTTAGAAAGCTTTTTGCGAAAGCTCTTTTCAATATCAATAATTTTAGCACCATTTATGATTCGACGCAATATAGTAAGCTCTAAGCTCCATACATAACTAATAAATGTGAAAGCTCTTATGCGTATAATAATATATGTGTTGTAGTAAATATTAGCATTTCAAATTCCAATATAATGAGTTAAACATGTCTTAACTAATTGCCTTTTCTTTAGCGCTTAAAAGATGCAAGACAATGGCACTATGTGGAAAAATGTGACGGGGTGTAGGCATAATCGCGTAAATAACGTAGAGCTATAAGAAACAAACAAATACATAAAATCGGTCAATAACCGGTGCGATTTCAAATAGCTGGAGTATTCATTATAGATATGATAATAAATTTGATAATATAAATTCGTCTTCTTAATTGGCGTAGATAATATAAATTAGCGTAAGAAAAAAAATTTTCGTGGATTATGTAACCTAATTTATTTTTTTTTTTAACTTAAAACAAAAAAATTTTAATTAAATAAAAAAAACATTGAAAGGACTAAATAAAGACTCAAGTGAAAAAATTTATTTGTTTAATAAAATAATTATAAAAACTATAATTTAAATTTAAATGGGAAATACAAAAATTTAATATTTTAAAATTCAATAAAATTAAATAAAATATATAAAGTGAAAAATAAAAATATTGACCTAATCATCGTAAAATTTTCGTTAGTTTAGCATATATATTTTTTAAAACTAAAAAATAATATTTATAAGAGCTGGTAACCCTTATATGAGTTACCTATATATTTAGATGAAAGTTAGACAAATAAGAAAGCGCTTAAAATATATTTTTCTCGTAACTAGAATATACTCATATATTTGCTTGTTATTAAGAAGCCCCAAAGCACTAGAAAATAATTTCAAAACCACTATGTAACTAACCTAAACTGCTAAAAAACTTCGTAGACTAAACTAGTTTTTAGCATAACTTACACGCTATTATAAAATTACGCACTTGCGGCTAATTAAAAATCACTTATTGGCATTTGCCGCGGTGAAATGCTAGAATTTTTGTTGGTAATTTTTCCGGACGAATTGCATATACGATACCAAAAACTAGTCACTAACGGTTATATTGCTTTAATTTACTGTTCTTTTTTGTTTTCTTTTGTAATTGTTGTTTACTTTGAGTATTGCGTGGTTTGCCGCTGATTTACTGTGCGCTTGCGCCTAAAACACTGCTACATTTTTTTCAATAAACTCGCTTATCACTTTGCATAGAGTGTAAATAGTTTAAATTATTTATATAGATATTATATATGTATATATGTGTGTGTATCATATATGTATGTACTTATACATATTAACTACCGAGTTGCATGTGTCGCCGCTTACTTAACAAATAACAACAAAGCACAGTTACAAACGTAAGGATGTAGTCAAAATCTACAGTCTGCTTGCTTGCTGCTCTCTATAACATTTTCATTCTTCATTTATATTTTATTTATATATTTACGTATGTTGCTTGCCGCTACTTGCAACAACTCTCAAATTTACAAATTCACTAAACCTATTTTTTGATTGTTGCAACAAATCTTCGCACTGCTTGCTGGCTCAAGTGGTGAAGAAATTGTGGACAATAAATTACTTTAGAAAGGGCTTGGTCGGTAAAACGTTCAAAAGACGGAGCCGGCATGCAAATATCGACCAACTGCATTTTGCCGCCAACAACAAAATATTCGTACGGTTTATTTGTTTGTTTGTGTGTTCGATAATGTACAAATGTATTGGCGAACATCAGATTGGTTACATAAGTAGGTATGTAAGGTCGCGTTGGTCATACATATATTTTGTTGTAGAAAAAAAGAAGGAAATATACAAAAACAAATTATTATGATAATCGATAAACAAAATGTAAATTCATACACATGATTTAACAAATAAAAATTATATTTAGTAAAAAATTAGCAAAAAGAATTTGATACGGATTAGCATTTTTGTTGTTGTTTAAGTTATGCGTACAGTTGGAAAGCGTCTCATTTCATTTAATTTGGGTTTAGTAGAGAAAAGCGGATGATTTGCATGAGCTTTGGTTATTTTCGGCTATGTATTTATTGTTGTTGTTATTATTGCGTTGGTTAATTTAGTTAACGGTTGTTGTTAAGCATTCGCTTTCGTTACGTAAGTGTTAGGAAAGGTAATTGCGAAAAAAAAAGTTTAATAAAACTAACTGATTAAGAACGCTGTATTGACATTCTAGATAAAACTCTGTACTGAACTGCAACTCTGTGTGTTTGAGAAAAGAGCTCCAAGGGTAGTTGTAAAATTGCGCTAACCACAAAACTTGTAGCTAACAGTTAACAAACTGTGAACATTTCTTCAAATAATCTAAAATAACGGTAAATATAAGTAAAAGTAGTTTTTATGAATATATACACTACAGAGTTGCATTTTGACTTGGTTGCTGGCGTATGGCACGTATATGAACGAACTGTTGTAAGGGTTAACGGTCACAATTAAATATTTTTGAAAAACATATTTACAAAAATTAGGTAAAAACAAAACGGTAAATGAAAAAAACAACAAGAAATAAATAAGTAATAAATATTTAACAAAAACAAAACATGCAACCTGGTAAATGTGTGCATAACGGTACTTAATGTATATAAAATCCAGGCGAAAAACTAATTTTAACAAATATTTTTGAGGAAATAAAAATCTCAAAAAGGCAATGGAACCTTCTGAGTACACTGGGATATTTGAATACACAATCGTGTATCAAAATAAACAGTTCCGCACAATTCTTGTTGGGCTAGTTGACAATTTGACGCATAATATTTCCAAATATGCGTCTACTAACCTAACTTTTTGCATAAATTCTTCACCGTTTGTCACCGTTTCAAACTGTAAAATGCGACATCTAACCAATCAGATCCTTACTGTTTGTCACCGTTTTAAACTGCTTTTTCAATTAACGTTGTCCACTGGTTCTGTGCTAACCGCAGACCTAACTGCCCTAACCTAAAATTCGTGTGACTTAAATGCTAACTGCTTACACATCGAGTTAATTAATGTTACTTAATTTAGTTAATTAAGTAGCTTTTGCAGAGATGTGCTGTAAGTTGTTGTTGTTGTTGCTAGTGTGTATATGCTTTAGGTATATGTATGTATGTATGTATATGGTAGTCGCATGTATTTGGTAAATTTACGGATGTGATATTATTTGTTGCGCACAATTCCACAAAGAAAGCTTAGAATTTATTTTCACTATTATTAATTACTTATTAACCATCAATTATTGTTTGATTACTTAACGCAACACTACTGCAACTTAACCACGAAAGATTTTGTATTTACGCTATAATGTTTGTTGTTAATGTTGTATATATATATGTATATATAAGTATTATATATGTATGTTTCTTGTTTCTGTTGTTTTTTGCTCTACGGCAAAAAGACATTTTTGCGCTTTCGTTCTCGAACGAACACAAAAAGCACAAAAATCTGCTTGTAAAATCATAAAAAAAAACAACTAAATAATACATAACGATAACAAAAAAAAAAACAACAACATAATAAAAATAATTGCAATTCGATTAATCATCAATGAATGAAGTAATTAATAAATTAATTCATTATTCGAATAGTATATAAGTTATAGAGAATATATGTATATAGTTGTGTAAAATATGTTTATCTAGCAAACAACCCACCGCTATGATCTGTGTATTCCGTCAGCAAGGGATTGCCGGCAGCGAGTGCAGCATAATTCGCGTAGTCGCCGTACGGTGCGAAAATCATGCCGTGTGCGGGATTCTCGAAGGCGGCGGGCGCAGCTTGGCCGGACAGTATGCTCGCCGCTGTGGTCGGCACGGTCATGCGTTGTGAGAGTATCAAGGGGGCGCCCAGTGTGGTGGCCTGCGGTGCGCGTATCTGTGGTGCTAGGGTTGGCAATGCTGGCGCCAATAGGCGACTCTCAGCCGAGGCGGCGATCACACGGCGCCATTCCTCCTCGCAGGCTATGCAACGAAAGAGAGAATGTGGAGAGTCAGTGTTGAGTCGAAAACGTACAGTTATATATAAAATTATATAAAGAAATTAGATTATACTAAAAATTAATAAAGTAAAATTAATCCAAATTAAACTAAATATATTGAAATTTTAAACGCTGAACAATAGAGCATGAGCTTAGAGCAACACTTTGGTTATAAACTGCACTGAAATAAATTTAAGCTCAAAACTTCGTTTAATTTACAAGATTTTGAGCTAAGGCTAAGCACATATTAGATTGAAGAGTAAGTTATAAAATATATTAAGCGCTTTTTCCACTAGTCAATTCAAGAAAATCGATATTTTTCCCTATACTCGATATACAATATACAGAAAATAATATCCGAAATTGATCCCCCAAATAGTTTCGGATATATAAGCTTATTGGTAAGAATTTCTAACTTGGTTCCCAAACCTTTAAACGCATTTTTTTCCGAAACGGGGTTTTCAGATTCGGTGAGAGAAATTTCTCTCAAGTACCTGGACTTGACTTGGAATATTCGCACGATCTTCTTAAATATATATGAAAGGTACACTAAACCCAACGCCGCGGTGTAAACCTTACTCTTTATCTTCAGATATACATACATATGTATTGGTCAGGTATACAAGGAATACGATATTTCGAACACTCTGAAGTGTAAATTTTTTCACGAAAAATAATTTTTTTTTTTTTAAAGCCGTCTCTTTGTCAAAAATTAATATTTTGACGTTCCCTTTGATCATTAACTGCATTCATCTATCATTCATTCATTTTAGTCATTTTACAATATTTTGGTTTTTGGAAGTTTTTTCTAGAGGTCGGCTAGAAGACCAAGGAGATCCAAAGTTTCTTAGAAAAAAAAACGATTATTACAGTTTATTAAATTCTGTAAATTTAGCTTGTTATTATTATTTTCATATAAAGAGTATGTTCAAAAAATTGTACTATATAACCCTTTAAAGGGTTACCCGGGTTTACGGATTTGAAAATATACGAAAATTCGATAGTCTTATTAAACTTTATAATACCTCTAGAATATAGTCCTAAAGTTTTAAGTTGATCCGAGTAATTATGTCGGAGATACGGCCTTGAGAACTTGTGCACTCGAGGCTAGCTAGGCTTAACGCGTTTTTCTCGAAACTGTATTTGGAAGTCGGTTGGCAAGATTTCACGAAAACTACTCAACCGATCTTCATGAAATTTTACACACGTCTTTGAAACACAATTCTTAAGCGTTCACCGGATTTTTTTTTTTTTTCTTTTAATTTCAGAATTTCGTTTTTAATGGCGTCTATTTGTAACAATGAAAAATTCTAATAAAATATTTAAAATTTTATAAGAGGAAAAGTATTTATTTTATTTGCATATTTACCCAAGGTAACCCACGTAGCCGCTTAAAATTCATTAAATTTCCTATATATTGATTATTATTTTGCTTTAATTATATAAAGTGCATGTTCAAGAACTTACATACAATAATAAAAAAATAATTACACTTAAATATACAATATTCTAACCGAAATCTTAACTAGTTCGTATTAATGTTTGTAGTGTTTTAGGTAAGTGGGTGATAGCAATGGTAATCGTTTATTTAACGGTTATGTGTATACAATTAAATAGTTTGGGCATCAGTACCAGTAGTTGTTGTTATAACAAAATTGTTGTTCTTTTTTAACAAACAGAATTATTTAAAAAATAAATTTTTCGATTAATAAAGAGGATATAGAGTCATCAGTGTAACATACCTGGAATGGCATTTTTCGCCGACGTATCCCTATAAGTGCCATTAATTATAGCTAATTCCATGAGTTGACGTTTTTTAAGTTCATCTTCGCCTTCGGCTTGCTGTTAGTACAAACATTAATGTAGTCGTGAATTTTTTTGTTTAATACACAAGAGAAAATTATTAGATATTTTCAGTAGAAAAAAAATTATAATTTCGAAATGTTCGGTTTATTTGAAGTTTTTTTAGGGGGGTTTGTTATGCATTTTGTAAATATGTTTGTATGTAAACATGATTTTTTTTTTTAAACAAAAATAATTATTTTGATTAATCAGATTATGGAAAATAAGAGCACGCGCACGCAAAAGCGCGAATTGCAAAAACAAACTGCTACGCGCCTGCACATATATACATGCATTGTTGTTGTAGCTGTCGAATTTTGCAAATCCTTCGCTTATAAATATTATTAAGACATTATTTCGTTTAGTTTTTTTAATATTTATTATTATGTAATTTGTAGCCACGCGTATGTGTGTAGGGTATAATATAGTGGGGTTGTATGTCGGCAGCAACATTTCAATGCCATCGCTTACAAATACACACGAGCGCTGCAGCTTTTGAAGCCGCGTGTATTTCGTTTAAGTCGCATGCTTGGCGGCTAATACTTACCGGTACTAGAAGCTTTTGCACTTCGGCAACGGCCTGAGCTAATTTGACTTTGGCACGATTCTGTGTGTCCTCTACGGTGATCAACACGTGCAGATCGTCGGACAAGTGCTCCCAGTTGGGTTTGCCGCGATTTGCGTCCTCCTGCAATAAATGACAAATCGTTAGAATTCATTTTGGATTTTAGGGCTATGATTTTAGAATTACAATTTTTATACCCTACATTTGGTATTCTTCTATTTTTAGAATTTTAATTCGAAATTTAAATTTTTTGTTTAGAGAAAATAATTTGAAACCGCGCGAGAAAATATTTTTGTGAAATTATCATTTATTTTGACTTCGAATGTTTGTACAAAATCGCATTTGCACTTATTATAGTTATAAATAACGCACACTCTACTTTTCATGGCTTATGTAAGAACTAATACCTTGCTGGTGGACCAAACGACAACCTGTTCGATTCGATTACATGCTTGCTAAGCAACCATTTATTTAATTTTTGCACTTAAGCATGCACTTTAGGCCATAAATGCGACATTTACGAACACACCTAAACACATACAAATATGTATGTATGCATGTATGCGTCGGTGTGTGCGCACGCATTAAAGTAGATTAAATGCGCCGCTTTCTGTTTATCGCAAAGCAGCAGTGAAAGTTATTGGCAGCTGTTTTAAGAAAAGTGTCAACTATGAAAACCAAAGCAGCAACGAGTTGTATACAGGGTGTGGCAAGCTAGTGGGATTGGATTCGACTGCTTTGCATCCATAGACCTTAGAAATCCATAGAGAAGGAAGAAAAAAATTTAAAGAAGCCATAATCCAGTCAAAAGTCCTACATAATTTGTTGAGAGATTGTTTTCGTTGCCTTAAAAAATAATGTACAATAAATTTGCTAAAGATATCGTGTCAACTAAAAAAGTTGTTCATACAGAGGTTAATTTTGAACGTTAAGTTTGTATGACAGCTATATGCTACACGCTTTGATCTGAAAAATGTATGTATGTAGCATTGTCTATGAAAATAATATATATGATAACATTCGTGTAGCTAATTTGTCAAATAAAAAAGTTTCCATAGAAGGGCTTAATTTCGATCGGTGAATTTGTATGACAGATCTATTCTATCGGCGAATCCGACAGTAGAGTGGTCCTGAGGTTCCTTAGAGAAAAGGTTGTATGCAAAATTTTCAATTGATATCCCAGAAAGTAAGAGACTAGTACGGATTATTATGCAGATTAGGGTATCCGCTGTTTTCTCTGGGATGACACAAATTTCGTGACGAACTGAATATACTCTATGCAGAGTCTAAAAATGTTTGAAATTGAAGAACTTGGAGAGCGAAGAAGAAGAGAGGAAACTGGTAAAGCGTTAAAAACAAGAACAGTTAAGGTTCGTGTAAATATTACAACTCTGGGCACGAAATAGTAAGACTTTTTAGCATTATTTCGTGCGAAATTGCATTCAGCGAAATATTTTTTTCTAGGTTGGCACTTTTATTTTTTTCTTATAATAGTAATTTAAAACAAGAAAAAACGTTAACTTCGGTTGCACCGAAGCTAAATACCCTTCACAGGTGCATTTATGTTAGTAACTATATGTTCAGTTTGTATGGAAGCTGTATGCTATAGTTAACCGATTGGAACAATTTCTTCGGAGATTACATTGTTGCCTTAGAAAATTATCTATACCAAATTTCGTGAATATGTCTTGTCAAATGTGAAAGTTTCCCATACAAGAACTTGATTCCGATCGTTCAGTTTATATGGCAGCTATATGTTATAGTGGTCCGATATCGGCAGTTCCGACAAATGAGTAGCTTCTTGAAGAGAAAATGGTGTTTGCAAAATTTCAAAACGATATCAAAAGCCGCAGTTAAGTACACATAAAATGAGAAAAGTACTGAAAAAGCGCTAAGCTTATCGAGAAAATATAAACATCAAAAGTGATTCGGAAATAAAAAAAGCATAAACGAACGTCACCTACAGGGCTTAGAACATACTACAATACAGTGATAGGAAATTAAAAAAAAAAAATAATAATATTTATAAAATAGTATCATCAATGCAAAGCGAGTAAAGGTTTATTTCGGCTGATTGCGTTCCATCAGCAGCGTGCTAGATAGGATTTGCAAGCGCAACAAATTAGCTGACGATTTTGCCATAAAGCAAAACCATAAATGCGCCCTCATCATCAGCTCAAAATAGTCACAACAAAACGTCGGCATACAGGAATATGCGATTAATGCAATCATTTGTGCATGTGTGTGTGTGCATTTGTGTATTTGCAGTAATAAGCCGATAATTGGCAGAGTAATCAGTGATCAAAGCGGATAATTTCTGAAACAATGAACAAAATGACGCTTGCGGGTGTCGCAATTAAGCTTCTTATACTGGGTGAATCTAAAAAGCAAAGCAGTAAAAAACTAAAATAATAATATATATTAATAAAAACAAAAATAAATAAAAACAAGATTAAAAAAATGCATGTGCATATTTATACTTTATTTATTTTATTTGAGTATTAATAAATAAAAACTTTTACAATTTTTGCTAAAAACATTTTTAAAAATGATTTCACTCGTTATTAAACCGCTAATAAATGTTTGGTTATAAAAACAGGTAGGAAATATACACACAAAATATATAAATGCCATAATATGTAATTGATTCAATCAAATAAAACGAAATAATGATAATAAAATGACAGCGCATTTCCGTTGCCAATTTGAAATTTTTAATACCCAAAAACCCAAACTGAAACGTACGAGATTTCTTATTTTGCTTTAATAAATTTTTATTATTTTTTTAACAATTCGAAACACATAAGTGGGTGGCTGGTTTAGTCAGCGTTGAGATGAATCAACAGGCAGAGATGAAATATACGAAAAAAAAATGTGAATTCACGGTAAAATAAACAGCGAAAAGCTTTATTATTGACACTTCCAGAAATACTACCAGAAACACTGCTAGAAGTAAACAACGGCAAAAGCCAAAAACGTTTGTAAAAATATAGCAAAGGTAAACAACTAAATTATTTATTTTTTTATGCAACCCCTTTTATGGGATATACCACCTACATACACACACGCACACTTCTTTTCAGTTACACAAACAGCCTCACGCTCTAGTAGCCACTTGAAGAAGCTCCACTGTGTCCAAGTGTGTCCAAAGTGCATGAGTCAACGCTGGCGGCACGAAGAGTCGAACACACGACGACATTTCGTGAACCTAAAATAGATATGCAAGACTTTGAGAAACCACACGGCATATCGCCTATGCAGCAGCGCGCTTTTCGGCTGCCAAAGCAATTTAAATGGCAAATAATTATTGCCTAAAAATCAAGCAAATGAGAATGCTGAATTATTTTCTGTAAAAGTTGCCAAGTGTTTATCCAAATCGGGCGACCCAACTACGCCGTGCTTCCCCGCCGCACACCCTTTGCTTTCGTAATTCAAACGCCCTCACAGTTGTGACAATCAGACACACGCACACACACTGCGCTTGATGATCGCTGCCAAAAGAACGATCAGCGCCCATTAAACGGCACTGTCAGCGCGAGAAGAATACAATACCGAGCCAAGGGTGCTTAAATAAACACACACATACGCACATATTCATTCATATATACATACACACCTGCACACACTTATGTACATACAAACATACACACGTAGTGAGCGCATTTTAATGACGCTGCGAGCGAAACCGCAACACATCAGCCGGTAGTGGTGGCTCATCGTCGCAACATTGTTGCGCGTTGCTAATAAAAAGTCACCATTAAAACTATTGTTAAATATTTTATTTATGTTTCGTAAATATTTTTATTAGTTTCGTTTTGCGCTAAAGAATCTTTGCCATTTCGCAGCTGCAACGCTCGCGACACACCGCTCAGCTGCAGCCGCAACAAGTGCAATCGTCGCTATGGTGCGGCTGTTGTTGTTGTTGTAAATCATGTTTTTGTAGTGAGGCATGTTGTTGTTGCAAGGCATGTTGTGTTTGTAAGGCATGTTGTTGTCGTAAGGCATGTCGTGGTTGTTGTTGTTGTTTTTGTTGTTGGGCATGTTGTTGTTGTTGTAAGCCATGTTGTTATTGTAAGCCATGTTGTTATTGTAAAGCATTTTTTGTTGTAGTAAACCATGTTGTTGTTGTTTAGCAGACGCAAATCCGCAACGTTGCCAACTGAGGCGCAGAAATGCACAGTCCACACTTTTGGGGCGCGCTAAATGTTGCTGCCAATGACAGACAAATAGGCCGCAGTGGATTGAGTTAGCAATGCGATTCAAGCAACAACAACAACCAAAGCTGTTTAGAATTTTTTTCGCAATAAGCTTGTAGCTGCTCTATTTGCTCTCTTTCCAGTTGTTGGACTAACTGTCTATGCTGTCAGTGGCATTTCATTTGCTGCCGACTTGACAGTTCTAATTTGACAGCTGAGCGTAACAGTTTACAACTTTGTTTGTTGTTTGTTGGCCGGTCGGCCGGTCGGCGCTGCCGTCAAAGCAATGATAGGAATACATACCGATATGTACAGTGCATGCGGCAAGTATGCGGAAGTTCGAGTTTTCGAAGGCATAATATCTTACAAGACGTGAAAAAGAAATGGGTGTGAAAACCCTTAACACAGTTTCGAATGCATATACGCCTAACTTTTGTTCGATCCAAACGGCTTGGTTTTAAATAAGAGGTTGAGTGCTTTACAAAAAGATTTTGATTGACAAAAAGATTTTTTTGTTATAGTTTAGGATACGTAATAGCTTTAAAAACAACATACCACAATTTAAAATCAATATCTTAAATAGTTTTAGAGCTAAAATCTCCTAAAGTATAGATGCTCGCAATGTTTTGGTCTGATCAAAAACCGAATGTCGGAAGGCCATAAACTTTATTAACTTTATAAAACTTTATTTGTTTTCGGCCATAGCTAAGTGCACGGATAATATTTTCTAGTGGATATTGTTTTTCATTAGGTTTCATCTACGGAGAGAGCGTTGACATCAGTACAGCAGCAGAAGATCTTTTCTTTCGTGTATTTTTGTATATTTTTTCAATGCATTTTTAAAAAATTCCCTGTCACAGGTGTACTCCTTACTAGCTTTATTATAATAAGACAACATTCATCAAATTTCTTCCTGCATAATTCTACACATATTTAAAATAAAAATAAAATAGGCTAATATTTTTGTTTTGCTTTATTCTTCCACTTCTTGCCGTTTTTAAATAAAATATTTATTATTTACTTTTTACCGCTACTCGCTGGCTGCGTGCGATAAATGTCAACATGAGATTTTCCATATAATTAATGCGGAAATATATTTTGGGTCCATGGATTTTGTTGTAATAAAAATATTTTTGTTTACCACAAATTTTAAATAGTTTATCCGAAAAAAAGTTAGGTTAGGTTGAAGTGGAATTATGAACACATTCTAGAGGTATGAACTAAGAAATAGTAACACTGTAGTAATCAAAATTATTTGATTTTCATTGGTACAAATTATTCAAAGTGGGAACCAGGTCCAAGACGGCCAACAACAGCAATTGATGACCAACATGTCAATAAAATAAAATAATTGGTGCTTGAGAATCGGCGATTAACAGTCACGAGACCTTACTGGAATTACATTGGAATATCGAAAGTATCAATGAACACCATTTTTAAAGATAATTTGGGTCTAAGAAAAATGAAGGCAGGATTGGTTCCATAATCACTAGTTTTTTTCCAACGACCAGCATGTCATGAAACGTATTATTCCTGGCGATGAGGCTTGGATCTATGCTTACTATCCGGAAACAGTAGATCAATCGGCAGATTATCGTGACAAAACTGAGCCAAAGCCGAAAAAAAATACGTCAAAGCAGGTCAAAAATAAAATTATGTTGACAGTTTCATCGATTATCAAGGGATGGTGGTGGTGCATTCCGAATTCCTTCTAACAATATATTTGATTTTCTTTATGAACACGTCATTTACGAAATTTTAATCCTTAAAAATACGCAAAATAATAAATTGCAATCATAATGCAAATATTTGAAAAGAGGTATGTCTTGAATTTTCCGAAGCGTTTGAAGTAATTTTATTTTTACGCAACTATCCATAAGATCACCAGACTCTCCCAATTAGAGCATATTTATATATTAGTTAAAATATAGTTTCAAATGTATATACATATGTATATGTTAGCAAGTATGTCAGGGCCGGAGAGAAGCCCACCCACGTCCACGCTCTACATTAAGCAATCGACAAAATTTTTATTTTTCTCATCTTGTTTTTTTTTGTGCTTTTCATTTTTAATTAGATATAAATCTGTCACCTGCTGTCAAAAATCTTTAAATATGTGTCTTTGTTAACAAACGGCATCTTGAGGAAAGCAGGCAAGCTACGATGGGAAAAGCAAACTAATAAATTTTTCTAAAAAAAAAAAAAGCATATAAAAATATGTGTCGAAAAACACAACAATTTGAAGTAATGTCTGATCATCGTCGTCGCTCAAAAACAACATGTTTTCGTAATTATTAAAACAAATATAAATATATTTTTAATTGGAAAAAAACAAGAATTGAAAAATAGATTTAGGAAATAAAATTATGTTTAAAGGTCACCAAAATTCTTCGAAATTTTGTTTTTGTCTATTTATGTAATTAAAATTTGTTTTTAGTAATTTTTGATCACAAACAAAATATGTTAACTACTAATCTAAAATATTTCAAACTTCAATTAAAAATTAAAAAAAAATAATCTAACTCAACAGTATTTTAGAAAATTTCATACAATGTATACTTTTTGTATGACACCTGCCAGAATTCAATACGCTTCAATTGCTACAAACGAAATTACAGAATAATTTAAAATCTAAAATACGCGAAATGCAGAAATTTTGGTGGCTGGGACACGCGTATTCATTTATCTTGGCAATTATTAGTCGGACGGATGTATAAATCTTTCACAGATTGCAAATACATGAGATTTAGACAAAGCTACAAGAGTGTAAACTATACCATAACACAACTAGCAATCGAACAATGTTGAAACATCGCGCTTGTTTTCTGATATCTGTTGAAAGCATTTTTTTTCTTAACGAACAGACATTTAATAAATAATAGGTCTCACATATCAGACTCAGAGAGTTTGTGTTCCTAAAAGAACTAGTGTCCTCGCTCACTTAGACTTCATACCGTAACACTTGGATCATGGAGTCGCCAAATCGACACAGCAGCTCCTTCTCTACCCATATAGCGGCGGGGAAAAGTGTTCGTGGGAAGAAGCTTTTGGAGGAGAGGCAGTGAACTTCTTTACGGATGGATCAAAGCTTTAGGGGAAGGTTGGTGGGTGGTTGGTGCATGCGCTGTCGCAAAAGCCTTTTGGCTCAAAATCGATCACAAGTGATCTAGTGATCTCTTTGCCCTCAGTAAGAATTGCTATTATCCCCAGTTTTGGGGCTTTTAACGGGCGATTTCACTATCGGTGTCAACGCAGTAAAGGAATCTTCTATCTATCTGCAGAAGCTGTATGAAAGAAGATGCAAGTATAAAATGGTTGGTTAGACCCGAACTTAGCCTTTCTTACTTGTTTTTATTTTAAGAAAAATATATTTTTCAAAAATTAACATTTCTAATATTCTAATTTGTTATTATTATTAATGTTTTCGCTAACCTTGTTTCGTTCAAAAAGCTTATAGCATGTATAAATAAAAACAAACACTTTATTTTCTACAAAAAAATTTCGTCAGGTAAATATTGAAAAAAAAGCAATCATTAATTCCATTTTGACTTACCTTCTTTTTATCTCTCATCGAGCCTTTGCCTCGAACCATAATTTTACAGCCAGTCTCTTGTTCTAATTGCTTAGCTGTCATGCCGCGTGGTCCCAAAATTCTGCCAACGAAGTTGAACTGAAAGCAAAGAAAAGTATAAAAATAAGTATTCTGTTGACATTTGCAAGCGCGTTTGTTTGATTATCTTTTGGACACATGTTGTTAGTCAGCTGGCGTTGGGACATTAGAAATGTTCGCAAATGTTTGCAATAAAATGCAAAATACGAGCCAACCCTCAGTAATAAACCGAAAGTATTTCGCACATAAGAATAAACACATTACAAAGACATTTATAAATGGCACATACACCGACAACATACATTCACAACCATGGAATAACCAGCGCGACTCGTGTCCAAGGGCGATTGAATAACGAAATTTGTCATGACATTCAAATGACGCAAAGATGCAGGCTGGCAGCCGCCGCGCTGGCCCGTGAATGCGTTCAACACCCTGCACGGGTGCACGGAGAATTCAAGGTTGAAGGCAACAAGATATTTTTGTTTGCTGCCGTTGCGCTCAATGAATTCACTGCTGCTACTCTTTTCGCTCCTGCTCAGATTTGCACTTAGTTAACGCTGTCCAAGTAACGATTGCCAGCAACTGGGGAACTCAAAGCGAAGCACAAGCACATAGCTAAAGCAGTTGTAAATCCCCAAACTGGGATGAGCGCCATCTCCGTGATGACTCATACGCACCGCGGACCCATTGTGCCACCCGAGGGTCTTAGCTAAGCACACACACACACACACACACACATCAAAAGCGCAACAAGTGCAGCAGCGCGGGGAGGAGCAGCGTAGATAATTGCAAGTGGAGGAAATTACTAACTGCCCGAAGGCCAACACGCCCCGTATTGACACGATAAACCAATCAACTAAGTGAAGATGTAAAAACCGAAGCAGAGGCGTGCGCGCGGCGCATCATCGTGTGCAGCGAGACATTTAGCTAATGCAACGCCAACACGGCTGATCGCATTTGAGCGTTGCGCACACATGCACATAACTGAGATGTGAGGTTAGCAGGGGGCTAAGTGCAGATATTTTGCACTTCAGTGCACCCGACAACTACGTCTGCTGAAGGCCTCTTCACTTAACCTGCCTACAAGCGGAGCAGCCGACCTCGGACGTGCCTTCCAAGACGTGCCGCCGCGTTTTGCTTCTCTAATGCCAATACAGCAAGACATATACATGTGCAGACGCGCACACATACATGCAGACATGTGTCATACGTACATATGTGTGTATGGACACCGCTTAGCTTTTCAGCGTGCATTTGCATGCAAGTACCGTGCGTCGTCGCCGCTTATTGATTTGTTTGGCTGAAAGCATGCGCATTGTTTGCATTTTTGTTTGATGTATTTATTGACACACAAACACACATACGCTTGCATACATGCATACTATGAGTGACAATAGCTACTTGTAGCTTTGCTGATTGCTGCCTGCCTGCCCGTTCAGCCGTTCGTCTATCTTGTCATCTATCACTAGTCGTCCACTCGCACGTCGCGGCGCGTCGCTCCCGCCTAGGCGCGCCAAGCGCAGAATTGCAATTGTAATTTTCAAACGAATTAGATTTGTCATTACATTATGATTTTCGATTTGATTTGTTAAGCCGTAAATCTGCTACATTTGGCCATTAGTCGGTGCGGAGCCATAAATGGCCCGTCATTCAGCACACCCAGTTATAGAATAATTCCTAAACACACACACACACACACACACACATTAGACTCGTGCAAATTCATATTAATAATGCTCATTCTTCAATGCCAATCAGCAATCAGCTCCTAATCGGGCGAACTTGACGCTCACTTAGAAGGCAAAGGCGTTATTCTCGAATTTACATAGAAAATACATACGAATGTGCGTGCAAATATGGCGTCGATTCGCGTCTAAGTTCAGACAAAAACAATTAACAAATTCATAGTTAATAAATAATTTACATAAAAGGATCGCTGTTCAGGTGAAATGATTATCTAGTACTCTGAAATGTCTTTACTCCGAGAAACCAAGGTGATATCTGAATTTTCAAATATTTTCTCACTAACAGGTGGTACAAGTAGCACCAGAAGCCGCTAAAAATACCTATTACAAGACATGCTTAATCTGATCACAATACGAAAGTATGTTTTGCATACTTAAAATCACTTTTAAAAAACTTTGTTTGAAACCAAAATTTTCTTTATCCTATATTTGAAAGAAATTAGATCAAATTACGTGTTCTCAAAAGATATACTCTTTTAGAACAAACACTGCTGATAGAAAATTTTGAAATATCATAGTTTTCTTTTTACTTTCAGAAAGTGAACTTATTTTTGCAACAAACCATCGTGATAACACTTGTTACTGTTCAGGTGAAACCTAAACTTTCATTCCGTTTTTCATAACTCTATTTTTTACCTTAGCTGCAGTTTTTGGGGTTGTAAAAATAAACTGACTGAAATTTTCTCAAAGCTCGGTGTAAGAGCACTAATAACCCTTAAAGTTGAGGTCACTGACTCCGAATATCGGTAGTAACTTTTCATAATTTCGATTCGTTGTTGGATCGTCTATCTTCCCGTTATGAAATGGCAAATCTTATTGAAGATAAATGTCAAAAGAGCTGGCGCCGTTTGCTGTCCCCATCGATCTACTGTTGAAAATATGGTTATAAGATCTGCTAATGTCGATTTTTACAACTTTTCTAGAGCCGAATTTTTCACCAGCAATATCATTCATCAGAGCTAATGGCTACTAACTATCGATGTGTGTGGCTTGGCGCTTTTCTGATGGAACACAGGCCTCTGCTATTGGCCAAAACTCACTGCTTCTCGGTAGTTACTTGCTTCAAATGAACCAATTGTAAACATAAAAGATCCAAGTTGACAGTTTGGCCTTAGGGAAGCAACTCATAGCAGATGATTTCCTGTCAAACCCCCCCAACACATAGCACAGCCTTCATGATGGCCAATCCTGACTCGGTCACATGTTGCGACTGCTCAAACTCGTCTCGTCAAGACTCGTCCACAGCCGTTTACGCTTGACTTTGTGATAACCGGCCCACTGTTTATCACTAGCGGCCAACCGCTTCAGAACTGTATAGAATTTATTGCAATTCAACACCGATTCGCAGTGAAAATACGATTCGTGAGGTTTTTTGTTTGTTTCGAAATTCTAACTGTATTCAGCCTTATTTAAATGGGTAAAAATGGTGTTTTATGGAATTTTTTCGTCTCGGCAATCGAAACAGTATCTACATGACGGGTTGGGTTTTGTCTTTATCACAGGAAAACTAAATGCTTAAATTATATTAAGTCAAGCTAAAGTAAAACTGTCTGAGAAGAACGTAACTCGACAACTAGATACAGATAATTTTGGAAAAATTAAGGTTTTCATTTTACTACACCTTATATTTCAGGTGTCATTCATACATGTAATATAAAAATTATATAATATAATACTATGTCAATTCAGGTTTCTGCCGTTGAAATATAAAGAATGGCAACATAATAATAAATTATTATTAAAAAATGTGATCAAACAATTCAAAACGCTATAAGATATTTTATTAATATTTTGATGGATTTGAAGATTTTGA